TGGAGCACTGGGGTAATGCGGTCTCGGGTTACATAGATGGTGTGATTGAAGCGAGGGGTTAATCAAAGTTGTATTTCAAACTGTCATTATATTTATCTGGCGGCTCTGGAACTTGTAATTATCTTTATCGTATAATTTTCATTTACTTGGAATAAATCAGCGTATTAGATGTAAGAGAATTGGAAATGTGTCAGTTATTTTCTACCTTAGGTTCCTATTGTGGACACGTTTCTGCAAGGACAGAACAATTTTACGTAATAACCGCACTCTGTGTTGCACCTTCGTGAAATTGCATTTACGTGCGATATGTATCTGATGTATCTGATGCATTACGATTACAAAGCCATCACATTCGGCCTGGCGGTCTCCTTATCTGTGTTAACTATGTTAAGAGTTAACTTTTTTATATGTTTGTGTACAGGCTGTGTATAGGCTGTAAACTGTTATAACTGTTTTACACAATTGTTTTCATATAACGTTTTAACTAGAACGTTTCTTGGTTGAAAAATGTAATTGTTTGCCTAAATCATAACTTTGTGTTTTAATAGTTTTGTCATCACTCAAAACTGCTCCACACTCAATTTCTTGTGTTTAATTTAAGCCATTTTCTGAGCCTGCAAGCATGTGATAAATATAGTTGAATTAGAACAGATTAAATGATACATTTGATGATATTTGTTTAGCTTTACATTTCGTATCATATTGTAAAACGTTACATAACATCATATATCACACGGATGATTATCTACGACATGAGAATGTACCAAAGATGGGGAAGGAGGTACAACCTGAGGCTAGTCGTGACCGCGATAACAACGCAGGGATATATCATTTCATATTTACCCAACAAATCTATTAACACAGTCTCCCTATTCTGTGCTATTACGTGCCTTGGACCAGACAGTGGCTGAGCCTAGAGAACAGACAGTAGAGGATGTTTGATGTGGTGCACGGTTATACCATAAACGTGACCATTGTGGCTGTTATAAAGTAGTTACAATGTTAACGATTTATGTCGATGGTATGTTGTACATCACACAAAAGAGTACGTAATCAGCCTCTATGTCATGACGTTTGGAATCTTGCCCGTACAATCAATCCTTAATTACAAGGTAATCCAGATACAGGACAATAAAAAGTCTTTAAACACGAAGTACTTAGTAATTCGTTACTTTAAGAACCTAAACACTGAATGTGTTACAAAGAAGTTCAAATATAATACTAAATCGGCTTTGTACCAAAACAACGAAAATAGGTCTATATTGGCGGAGCGACGCTGACGACTGCTGTACCGGACCTTGTCAGATGATTTGCATTCCCAGCGAGTGTTTATGGGCCTTGTATCAACATAATCACCATTAACGGCGCGGCCTGCGGCAGTAATGGGTAAAGCGCATGTTTTGTCGAACATAGGGTAAACACCATCACAAGTCTCATTCCCCGGGGCCTGTGTCGCCCTCAGTGTCGTGGTGTGTGGCTACTGTACCGGGAGTCACATAACTGGGGCACACCGTGGGTCTACACACTACCATGGGGTAAACACCATCACAAGTCTCATACCCCGGGGCCTGTGTCGCCCTCAGTGTCGTGGTGTGTGGCTACTGTACCGGGAGTCACATAACTGGGGCACAACGTGGGTCTACACACCACCATGGGGTAAACACCATCACAAGTCTCATACCTCGGGGCCTGTGTCGCCCTCAGTGTCGTGGTGTGTGGCTACTGTACCGGGAGTCACATAACTGGGGCACACCGTGGGTCTACACACCACCATGGGGTAAACACCATCACAAGTCTCATACCCTGGGGCCTGTGTCGCCCTCAGTGTCGTGGTGTGTGGCTACTGTACCGGGAGTCACATAACTGGGGCACACCGTGGGTCTACACACTACCATGGGGTAAACACCATTACAAGTCTTGTACCCCGGGGCCTGTGTCGCCCTCAGTGTCGTGGTGTGTGGCTACTGTACCGGGAGTCACATAACTGGGGCACACCGTGGGTCTACACACTACCATAGGGTAAACACCATCACAAGTCTCATACCCTAGGGCCTGTGTCGCCCTCAGTGTCGTGGTGTGTGGCTACTGTACCGGGAGTCACATAACTGGGGCACACCGTGGGTCTACACACCACCATGGGGTAAACACCATCACAAGTCTCATACCCCGGGGCCTGTGTCGCCCTCAGTGTCGCGGTGTGTGGCTACTGTATCGGGAGTCACATAACTGGGGCACACCGTGGGTCTACACACTACCATGGGGTAAACACCATCACAAGTCTCATACCCCGGGGCCTGTGTCGCCCTCAGTGTCGTGGTGTGTGGCTACTGTACGGGGAGTCACATACCTGGGGCACATCGTGGGTCTACACACTACCATGGGGTAAACACCATCACAAGTCTCATACCCCGGGGCCTGTGTCGCCCTCAGTGTCGTGGTGTGTGGCTACTGTACCGGGAGTCACATAACTGGGGCACACCGTGGGTCTACACACCACCATGGGGTAAACACCATCACAAGTCTCATACCCCGGGGCCTGTGTCGCCCTCAGTGTCGTGGTGTGTGGCTACTGTACCGGGAGTCACATAACTGGGGCACACCGTGGTTCCGTAAACTACCATTATACAATTTAAACAATCTTAAATCACATATCCCGCTAAAAGATATGATATTCTTGCTGCTGCGTTTCGACGTTAGGCTGTGATGAGTCTTCTGCTCTCGAGATTCTCAGTATGCCATCGAAATGTTCTAAAGTTAAAATCCTCAGACCACAATTCCTTTAACAAAAAACATCGGCACATAACAAATTTTAATTCACTGTTCAAAATCATTCAATGCTCTATAAAGAAATTCATACTCTGCGGGTAACGAGTCTTTACCTGATGCACAGACAAGCGAGAATTGCGTGCTGTATTCGTACTTGAATTACGTGGAAAAGGTACTCTTTTGTAATTTTCTGTTGTAACCTAATTTTCTAAGTCCACCATGTAAGTTTCATATATTTTTGCAATCATTTGAAACTAGGAAGTAGAAGTAACTGTAAAGTAAGGAGTAAGTTAATTACATTTACTCTCAATTCAAACCTTTAATTACGTGCCGAAACGACTGCAGTTACGTTTACAGGCCGTCGTCGTCCATTATTCATAAGGCTTGCACCCTCCGCTCCCAGGGGCATTTTCTCTCTGTATTTGCTCATTAAACCCGCTTTCTCTTATTTCTTGTTCCATGTCCCAATTTTTTTGCCGTTTTGAACTGCAAAAGCACTAAATGTCAAAACACAACGTGAAGGTCTTCGCCTGCTTGGTATTTTTCACCGTTTGCATGTTTTATTTATTTGCGTAGTTTAATATGTTTATCTGTCTAGTCAGAATCATTGTGGATTACTCACCCTGAATAGCTATGATTTTCAATTTGCAAACCCATCTCAAAACGCTAAAACACTACTTAAACTACAATATTAATTAAAAGTCCGTGAACGCGCGATTACTCGATTAACTTTGGACTGATTTTGATTAAATTTGACATGAATGTGTAGGGATGAACTTGTATGAGAACCATCATGCTCGGATTATTGAAATGGGGTTTATTTTGACAAACATTATTTTTCCATAAGATTTAGCATTTCCTTACTAATATAGAGGAGAGAAATATAGACCTATATACAAGTTTGTGGCACTATAATTTGAATAAAATACATCAGTGATTGGCATTGGCGGCATTTTAACCCGAAACTTAGGAACCGAAGTATTGTACTGCGCTCTACCTTTAGACCACCTCGCCCCCAAGTGTGATCAATAGAACAAAATTACAAATGGAAGTAAATAATAGCACCAATAATAAAGAAAAGCCATGCCAAAAAGGATGTATGATTGCTGGGTCGGTCCTGAGAAGAATACACAAAGTAATATTTTACACACATATTTATTTTATTTAACACATGCAAATGACCCCTCCGTTAACAAAACGTTAAAATATAACTCTTACGTTACAAAATGAAATCAATAAATAAAATCCAAGGATACGGTATTATTTTGCACTTTACCATTCTATTTATAAAATAGAACGCGAAATGTAAGAATCGTATTATTAACCAAGTTTATGGTTTTTGGGGGTTTAATATGTGTATTTGTATCGGATCCACAACTCAACCAGTTGGTATGATAAATGTTTTTATATTATATATTAAATTATGTGTCTATCAAAGTGTATACATATTGTAATGGTTTATTAAAGCATCAGTTATTTTAGAATCGACGAATTAATTAAAAAACTTAGATTTGGAACTCAATTTCAAAAGCAACCCCAATCATTAAGCTTAGACGGGAACATTAATGTTCATTTAAATGCTACAAATAAAATTAAAAACTGTGGAAACATATTTTTTGGAGTTCCAGTCTCCAAAATAATCTCCACGTGTTTATCCAACTGTACGAGCTGTAAATGTGGAGATTTAAGTTTGATATTTGAGATTGTTCCAATGATATGTACACGGAAGATTTTCCCATCGTTTCCGAATACTAGATTGAATTATTAAACAAATGAATCCTCCTCAGAATGCAAATTAATGTTAATAATCCTAGGCGCCTATTCGGGTTCGTCGGACGCGTTAATGCACATTTACCCACATTTATAATCGAACGCACTAAATTAAATTAGGGTAGAAACGCATGTTAATTGCGGGCAGCGGGCGCCGAGGTCCGTGTACCGAGGCTCCTGACCAGGGGCTAGGACCGGGTCAAGAAAAAACGCCGATATATCAAAACGCTACGAACGGAGAACGAGAACTGGTATCGGAGCGAGCGAGAGCGCAGCGCAGCCACCGAAGACTCGTATAAAATACAAGACCGGCATTAGACAAAGAGGGCCCTAACCGACTATAAAAAACCGGTACGGGTAGTGCGGGGTGGCGCGCGTCGTCGACAGTGCCACGCGCCGCGCTTGCTTCCATCCCCACCACGACGGCGGCCCGTGCCACGGCGGGGAGGGGGGTGATACAAGAGTGGAGCACTCGGTGCGCAGGCTTAGAACCGGAGTGGTCGTGATAGCGCGAGGACGTACAGTGTCGTGTCGCAGTTCTCAGTAGAAGATGACGTCTCTCATGAAGCCGATGAACCTGATGAGTCTACAGCCGGGTAGAGGATCGCCGCACACACATACCGCGGTCATCGTGAACTCTCCACAGAACGTCAAGTCGGAGCCGGGTGTGACGAGAATACTGGTGGAGGAGAGGAGTTCGGTGTTGGTCGACAACACGGGAAACCAAGACTTGAATAGGTGCAAGAGAAGAATCAACTTCGCGTACTCGCAACAGATGCAGGGACATCAGCCGGCGTCGGTGGCGAGGAGGAACGCCCGGGAACGTAACAGGGTGAAGCAAGTCAACAACGGATTCGCTACTCTGAGATCACACATCCCCCTGAGTGTCGCGACAGCCATCAGCTCGTCCGCGGGGAGTCGTGGGGCCAGCAAGAAGTTGAGCAAAGTGGAAACCCTGAGAATGGCTGTCGAATACATCAGGTCGCTCCAGGAGTTGTTGGATGAATCCGGAACATCGACACAAACGGAAAACTCGTACTACACCTCCAACGAGAACCAGAGAGCTCCAGAGTCGTCCCTGTCACCTCCGTGTTCCGAGGCTTCCTCCTCACCTCCGCCCTCGTCGTACGCGTCAGAAGGGTCGTACGTCGCACCTCCGTCCCTCAGCTACCACCAGGAGAACTACGAACCCATGAGTCCAGAGGACGAGGAACTCCTGGATGTGATATCATGGTGGCAGCAGAGTCAGTGAGCTCCAAGGTAAGAGACAGTGAATAGTTGTGCACTTGTATTGTCATAGATAAGATAGCCTATAGGAATGGTTGCTAGGGATTTTTGTACGGTTTTTATAATAATATAAAAATAAGTGTCCGGTAACTCTAGGAACACATTTTAAAAGGATAGATTTTTAAACGTAGAGTGTGTCACTGACTTACTATTGTTGAAATTCAATGCGCCTAAATCAGAAATGCTGTAATTAAGTTGTCTAAATTGCCATACATTTTAAGCCTAAGTATGAAGAGATTCTCCATATTTTGTGTATTTTTGTATTTTACCATTAAAACCCATACCTTTAAAATTACCTGAAATTATTCTGATTGCGTATCGTCTAATTCGACAATGTTTTACTTTTCGTAAGCACGTAGTATACAAAGCCAAAGATGATCAGCATCTGTTTACAGTAAATTCTTGTAAAATCCACGCAAATGTTATTTGATGATACATTGGCACGTCTAGGTCTTTCTAATTGCTTTTCACTGAAGGAGCTTACAAAATATCTTGAAAAGTTTAAAATTTTGTATGATTACAATGCTTAAAACTGATTGTAAAAGTAGTATTTCCAACAAGTAGCCTACAAGTAAATAATTTTGTCATGTCCTTTTTAAATATAAAATATCTCTTTTGATTCATTATTTTACAACCATACATGTTATATGAGAAAAACGAAGGCTTGACATGTTAAGGTTAGTTTCAAATCTTTTGAATATAATTCGACATAATAAAGGTCAGGATGCAGGACGTACATTTTAATATTCCTTTAGGTTCTATTAATGTAACTTAACATGTTTTTCTATGCATGGTTCATCCTAAATATGGCATAATATAATCTTGCAACAAAATTCTAACGAAACTAGCATGAAAATGAATTAGTAGTTTTCTTATTTATTTGCTTTAAAACTATTCATAAGGGAAGTACTTTTACTACTAAATCTTGAGACTATTTTGACTATAATTACCCAAACACGTATATTATATGAGGCATTTTCTATGTGCTGGGACTTTTCGCAAATTCATTTGTTTCTGTTCATAATAAAAATTATCTTCGACTTGAAATACGCACACTCTATAATCTCTAATGCTCTATGGTGGAATGTATCTTGCACATCCCAATATATTATTTTCACGTTGCGATTTTGGACATTTCGTATCGTTCGTGTACTACACATCAATTAACATTGGTCCACTTGATTTGTGTACAACCCTACTGTAAAACCCCTCGGCCAAACGCACATACCAGCTGTTATAAGGCCAATTTTGATGTTATCTGCGAATCAATTTTGTCCAAGTTTATCGAGCTATCTCGGTGCTGAGGGTACGGAGTAAGGGAGGCAAAAACCTTTTCACCCAAACGCCCGAAGAAGCTTTCGCCTATTATCATAACAACGGGTCCGCGCATTTTTTGTGGCCTCAGCCCGCGGCGACGGTCCCAACAAAGGGGGTGATTTTTATTTGAACATCCCCGGATTCCTAGGGATGTTTATCTTCTTTTCTATTCTTCTCTATTCCCCGCTTTGCATTATTTTTTACCAACATTTATCACGATCTGCTTTTACGGTGGTTTTTACCTTAACGGTTTTACTTTTTTACATAGACTTAGCATACTGGGGTTGACATAGGTTGGTTGTTTTACTCTGTTCAATAAGTAATTACTTGCAGGCCTATACCGGAAAGATCTATCTCAAACTATTTTGTATGAGCGTTTTTGCAGTTTACTATAGTGATAAAAAAAATAAATAAATAAAAATAAAAATAAAAAATACGTGTACACCGATTACACCATATGATTAGGTTACACTAAGATGCTTTTTACCTATTCAGATACAAGAAATATTAAGTTTTATGCATAATATTTGTTAGTTCAAATAACCCATTGATTAATTGGGGTTTGTTGAAAACTAGTAAAATGGTCAAATCCAACTCCAAGGCGTAATATATTTGTGCCTAGCTTTCACATGTTTGTGTCGTAGAACCGCGATGAACCTACTTTATAATTGTATTTTTACTTTGCAACGTTACACAGACAGCCTTGGACTTGGACGACTAAATTCAATTAATCACTGGTTCAGATTTATCGTCATTCCCACGGGCGGCCGGCGTCAAACTTGGCGGGAACCGGTTTAATTGAATGTTGCTACTCCTAGGCCGGCCTCAACACAGAGTACGTTCCGTTACTGCATCTCGCGTTATGCAACATACGTAGTGTGTGTACTCTATGTTTCCCCCGCCCCCTCCATCCACAGCCTGTCACTGACCTTAGTCACGCGTCAATGAGTTCATTGTTGTGGTTGTACTCGCGACTCGCGCCAATCAATGAACTGATTGCATGTCTGGACTCTTGGTTAGGCAGATGTCTGGTCATTTACGAGGGAAACTAGTAGAAAAGAGGTCTAGAAATGCGTGGATATTTGTTTGGTTCGTGTTTATTTATAGCTTTGCAGCAATCCCGTTTTTATTGGCCACTTTAATGGGCAACCCGGAATATTTGGTTTTCACTTTTTCTAATGTGTAAAGAGATATGTATGGATGATGTTTATCCCACATGTTAGGGGAACAAAGTTTTGATTACCCTATAAAATGTAACCTTGACATAAAATATGCTATACGAAAGAATTGTTTTCTCTTTAGATAAAACGCGCTAATATGAAAACTAATGTTTACGTATTGTACTACACTATGCGGGCGAGATTACAATTAATTGCAAGTTTCCATTTATCTTGCAAAGTGCCATTATAAACTCATTTAAACGTCCTTTTTTACTCTAAGGGCACATTTTATCAACAAAGAGATCGTGTACGTGTTTGCTGCATACAAACACATAAATTTTGCAGTAACTAATTCATTTCACAACAAAAGCATCGTACTTAGCATCGTCCATTACACCTCTTGTAAACAAAGTACAGAGACCCATTTTCTTGCATTGTATTCAAATTCGTCCATCAGAGGCCCATCTTTCAGGGGCGAGGTGTAGCGCATTAGAACAGGTAAGACGTTGCCACTTCCTCCTAGGCCGGAAGTGGCTACAAGGCCATCTTTGTTCTTAATCAGTCTTATCACTCAGACCGCCGAAGGCGTCACTCGCACTCACACATGCGGGCAACGCTCTGACCCTCTGTTATTGGCTTTGTGCTAATAACTTACCTAGGAAATCGCTACGATGAATGCAATTTTTAATTCCAAGGAATCAGCTACCATTTGAATGTTCTATCCCAAATAAGACAAAGGTCTTGAGGTGCGTGGAAAAATGTTATTAAGTGTTTTATGAGTCAAGAAGTGCACTAGTGGGATTCAATTTGCACACAGTATTCTAAAACAAAAGTGTATAAAAAATCTGATTTTTTTAAAATTTTTCTATCCAAGAACAGAAAAATACACCAATTTACCTATATTCGTGAATCTTAGTTTTAGCTGTACAGGGAATATTTCCATCTTGCAAAAGACGTATTACAATTCGTTGTCGTTCCCAGGCCGGGTCGCAGGTAGAGGAAATCAAAAAGTTGGCCCCTCGTCGCTCACTAGTACCGTTGGGCCTTTGTACAATAAGGCTGCTTTGTGTGCACAAAAGCCTCCTTCCCTTCGCCTAGACCGTCTTGGGTCTTGCCTAACGTCTTTGTGGCAGTGTTTGGGCCCTGGCGGGGCACCCACGATATAACGCGGCCTTGGCAACAAGACTCGTACATTCAACTATCGACCTATCGGAATTATCACAATGCTTGGAAAAATCCGATAAATATTGGAAAAACACGGAGAAAAGTGCTTTTAACAACATGATTTGATTTAAGAAGGTTATTAACTTGAAAGACACTACATCTAATGAATTCAATCATTGTTAAATTCACGTTTTTTACTGAATTTGAATAACGTACCTTGAGCTATTTTTCTAACTGTGCAGTTGAATAGAGAACCTATCACCATAAAAAAACGTACCGGTATTCGGTATTGTAGTTACTCTTTACCAATCCTTACTATACGTCAGGTTATACCTCGCAAGGTTCAAAGACACTTTTTTAAAACCAGTATTAAGATTAACCTTTAACCGTTGGCGTTACCATTTTTTTTTCACCGTCTAGACAAGCCTCGCCCGTTAAACGTTCCAATCCAACCTCAACTAGTTTTCTATTGTACAAAACTAGAACTAGAAGCAGCCACCCTCGGCACTGATCCAGGTCAAACCTTTTTCTGACGGGGTGCATTCGCTTAGCGCTATTTGAATCAAAATAGAGCACAGCATTCGTTAGGCACTAGCAGACTCTGTAAATAGATCAAACTAGTTTTGAAAAAAATATTCTAATTTTATTCACTACACGGGTTTTAATTTGCATCATAGATCTGAGTTAGATTTTAATAGTTTGAAATGCATATTGAGTTATGGTTGTACAGGTTTTATGTGACAGTTGATAAATGTTTTCAACGTCCGTGTATATTTACAGAATCGTGAGTTCCCAGTGAATTCCTTGATCTCCAGGGGACGTCATTCTAACATTACAACATGCGTTAATCAGTGTTGTAAAACTACGATTGTATGATTGACAACAGCATTTCCTATTTGCCATTACGTGTCGTTTATTTACTTTGACAATCATACAGCGCCCTATGAGTTTACACCATTCGGAGGAAATATGCAAAACTTTACACCCTCTGGATCTCGCAATGTAGCCTACTTCCTACTCTGTTCTTCATATTCAAATCTTATCCGGACTTCCTACTCAAAGCTCAGTCTCGTGATTTCTATTCTTATTCAAACACTTTTGTTTTCAAAAGAAACAAATAAATATTCATGCAGAACATGAGCCGCTGTGGAGGTGTCTCCCCCCAGCGCTCGTCAGACCTACCACTTCCCTTGCGGAAGCAGTACAGTCCGCCCCACAAGTGATCACATTGGAGGTGAATGTACCTCGCCGATCTACAACCTACCGCACTCGTTCTTTGTAAATAATAATACAATGTATATTTAACACAAAATAGTGTTAAATTATCTTCCATTACTTCACATTCTACACGAAATATTAACAAAATACACACATCAAATTACCGACCTATGGCAATATCACTACAATATTAAAATCAAAAAAATATTTTAAGCCTTCTGTATAAACGTGTATTAAGCATGAAACATAATTTAAACTCCCACATATATAAAAGAGTCTATATACTCCGAATTCATTATTTAAATGAACCCAATAAGCCAATAGCCATAAAATAACACTGTAACCTCTTCCGACTTAACTAATAATCGTAAATTACACAGAAACACCCTTAATGAAGATGCCGGTCGCTTAAGGTTGAAATAATTCATGAATACAATTTCCTATGTAAATGTTGTGATTCATTTTTTATGTTATTACTTAGGCCCCGTTTATGCACCAAGTGCGGGAGCGGTGCGATAGCGGGCCCGCTCCCGCTGTAAATGAGTCTGTTTATGCACGAAGAGCGATAGCGGTAGCGGTTGGTTAAAGAAGAATGGAAGGGGGACACAGTCTTGCCAACTCAAACTCTGTCAAATAATTAACACAACTATTTGTCCTAAGTGCACGTGCGCGTGGGTCAAGTTGGCAACCCTGGCTTCAGCCGCTCCCGCTCCCGCAGTGCATAAACAGACCCATTTGACTCAATGTAGTTGAAAACCGCTCTATTCCAAGCAACCGCTGCGATTCCTAACTACACAGCGGGCGAATTAGAAATCGCAGCGGGAGGTCAACCGCTATCGCTATCGCTCTTGGTGCATAAACAGCCCCATTTAACTCAATGGTGTTAGAAATCGCTCCCGCTGTCGCTACCGCTACCGCACTTGGTGCATAAACGGGGCCTTAGAGTTAACGACGTTGCTCTAGGCGGTGGATCATTGTTGTTGTTGCATGCGTGGATGTGGTCGGTGCAACGATGCTGTGTGAGATGACCTCATGCTTCTCCCCGACAATTGCCCTACGCTAATAGCGAGGTCAACTCCTCATTGTCACTGTCTCTCCCATCTTGAGTCTTTCTTTGTTCAAGTCTAATAATTTTAGTTTGGATTTCCTTTATTTCAAATCATTTAATTTGCCTATGAAGTCAATTTTACCCACATACCTGTACCTAGAAAACTTTAGAATTGAATTTTGTGTTTCAAATTTGTGTTTAAATTTGTAGACTCTATTATTACCTAAGTATTAATTGGGATTTTCTTTGTTGCAGATCTCTTGTGCATTTCCCTGATCTCACAAGTCTCACCTTAATGTCTGTTACAGGATCTCAATTTGGTAAGTTTCGTTTTTGAAAGAAATTACATTAGAATTCTCTATGTTGCTTGATAATATAATGACCCGTTCACGTTCATAGCTTTATAGCAAATAATCTTTGTTGTCTGATTTTGTGAGACAAACATCCCAAGCTAACTTCTTCAAGAATATGGCTAAACATTTTAGCAGTTTAAAACCATTTCACAAATTATACATGATTACTTAAGTGTTTTCAAAAGTAACACAAGATCATTATCTTCTTTTTAAAGTATCTCATTTTTTCACAGACAGACAATTCAGAAAGTTTTAACCAAAGGTCTGTTGTTGATTGCGTGCCTCAATCCTTTTTCTATCCTCTTTCCACTGCTGTCATTATATAGTTGGAGTCTCGGACAGTCCCAGTCGCCATATGTTGTTCCATGTTCCATCTCCATGGCAACCACATGTTACCAGAACTTCCGGTTTCTAATGCACTTCTCATGTGATCACTCATCGTGCCCCTCTGTTCACAGGTGTTGTTCGTCGTGCGACCCGAAGACACCCGGACTCAGCCGAAAACGCACGAACGACATCACCATTGTTTATACAACTTGTTAAGCAATATTCGATATTACGAGTCTCTACACTGTTAAGAGCTTTTGAATGTTACAGTTTTTGTTTCTATATTAAATTGTCTACTTTCGTACTGTTTTGAGTGCATTTATATTGTTTTATACAGTTTTAACGAACTTAGCACATTATGTATTTAAGCGATTTTAAGATTTGTGCCTTTCTGGTAAATTGAAGGAGGAAGAGTAAAGTTGACAAAATATATGTTAGGAGTTACTTTTTTTGTTTCGTAACCGTAGTCGGAATTTTTATTTTATGATTATGAAAGTTTCATATTTAGTTCTTTTATTACAACATTTTTCTTTGTCAACTTACAAACCTCTTATTCCAAACCATTAGGCAAGTAATATTTTATGTTCATTTTAAAAGTTATTTAATATTTTTTGATGTTTTTGTTCTTAATCCTATAGCATATAGATTTTCTATACTAAGCATTTTAAGTTTTTTCTTTTCGCCATATTATAAAAAAATATTAGTAATATTGCTAAATAATTGGTGAACAATACTAGAAGTGTTATTTTCTTTTTCAGTAATATAGGTATTCAGGAGATTTGCCTTATTTTTTCTGTTATCACGCACAGTGTGGTATTATTTGTTTTGAAAATATTTACATTCTCAGTTTCTTTTATTGACGTTTGTTATATAAGAAGTATAAGAATAACAATCCTTAGTTTCGTTTCTATCCTGCTCATAAGTGTTACATTAATTTTAAGTATTTTGAACATGAAAGTCACTAAATACGTTTTCTATTAATCCAACATTTAAGTTTGAACACTAATGGAATCTGGTGCTTACGATTCCTAAATATTGTTACTATAAATGTACTTATCGCTTATGTTTTTGTTATCAAGATAGTGATTAAATTGTGATTTCTAACTCAAAACTACAAAAAATCATTCCATGTGATAGTTTTAAGCTCAAAAGTTGCTCAAAATTCAGTTGACAAGGGATCCTGACTCCACCACTGTAAATATCTCCTTTGTACATGACAAATTCTGTAGTTATTTATTATGTTTATATTTATGTATTAGTTAGACCCTGTTTGTACATAGAGAGTTTGGAGTTTATTTATGTACGAGAATGGAACGCGTCTAAGCTGTTGTTGTCCATAGCTTTAGTGACATTAAGTCTGAACATAATTCTAAAAACAAGTCACAAGAACAGTAATGTAATGTACCAATCACCATAATCGTATGGTTACCACTGACTCTACCTTAGCACTAACCATGACAAGGGGTCCCCCAGGGCTTTCTGATTAACCTCATGTCAAAATTGTAATAGATTTAACAGGCCTTTCAATTTTAAAAGCAAAATCAAATCCATTTCTGCAAATAAAAAATATTGGAAGTGGAACAATTTGGAATTAGTTTTGTATACCGATACTAAATTAATTCTGAAACGTTCTTTCTCAGTTTTATCTCCTCCTCATAAAATGTCTTTAAACTAATATTTTTAAACCTAAAGATGTACGGTAATAATCACAAGTAAGAAAAAAAACATTAAACCAATCAGACGACCCTGGTGGACTCCTTAACTCCGTAAACTAAACTAATGCAACATTCCTCAGGGCAAACCTCAGATCTTGTGACATTGTACAAATTGTTCAATACTTTTGTATTGTTTTGTACTCTACTATGTATTGTACTGTATCAATAAGATTCTAGTCAACCATGTTGTACATTTACTGTAGAGGATATGAGCTGCACCTTTGTGCCTTATGTTAAATATGCTCATACACTTTTTATATGTTATTGTATTCAATAAACATGTTACAAAACATTTCAGTTTATGCTTTAATTATTCTCTCCTGCAGTGTGTATTTAATTTTGTAGAAAGTAATGATGGAGTTCTTATTCAAATGTTTTCAGAGTTGAAATAAAATGGTAATATCAAGAAATATTCAGGGCTGATCAATGTAAAATTTAATGTCAAATATTGATGGGATGACAAAAATATCAAACTGTTGATAAAAAACTGACTCTATTCTGGAATAGACAAATTTATTCCAAACTACTTGAATCCTGTTCGATACAGTTTCTAGCCAAATGCTATATATATAAGCTAGTTAGAGTCTTTCTTAATTAATGACATTGTTAATATAATATTGATAGTCAACGGTTGGATAAACCCTCATACGTTAAGATTAATAAAATGGGAGATTTAGGCCTATATAGAATATCTAATAAAGTGGTTTAAATACCTTATTCTGACAATACGGTTGTTGTATTCCACAACTAGTTTCAACCTGCTAGGATGTCATCATCAGGTTAGTACAAGGATGATATTACGTCATACACACCTGATGATGACCTCTTAGAAGGTTGAAACTAGTTGTGGAATACAACAATCGGATTGCCAGAATAAGGTATTTAAACCACTTTCATTAGTTATTATTCGCAATCCGGAGGCTACTCATACCACAATGAACCTAGACTATGTTTTATGCAATAAATACCACAGATTATTAAAGAGCTTAGGAAGATTTATGTAAACAGGATTTCACAGAATTAGAACTTGATTAGAAATCATTCTACACACAACTTCTTCCTGCATTATAGATATGTGACGTGTGTAAGAAATGTTGATAAAACGTCGTTATTGACATAGGGCAGATTGCCAAATACATGTGGAATTAAATGCAAAGTAAGAAAACAAAAGATGTAAAAGTAAGAGCTATACCATAGATAAAGGTACTATGTTTTATCTATAGCTATACTGAACTGAATTGATAATTTCAAGTACTCAAAAATGTAAAAATAAAACTTTGCTACCGGCAACAGTATCCAAACTATTAATTCAAGGAGCAGATGATACAATAGACAAACATAAGATATCTCCATTTTATGTTAAAAGAGTTCAGGATAAACTTATGCTCAACTTGCTTAAAAATATAAGTTGCTTGGATCTGGTGTTATTGGGCTTTACATTTTCGTCAGATCAGTTTGTAAACAAAGTGAAAGTGGCAGTCTAGGTGGCCTGAGTAAGGTCAGGGTGATGCGGGCACTAGACACTGGACAGCCCCTCACCCCAATGTTTTGGCTCCAAGTCAAAACCTTCATTGCCGCCTATCTGGACTATCAAGGTTCTTCTTACTACTCATTTGGATGTTGAAACTAATTAAAAGATCCAAATAAAAGTTTATGATTTGTAGTTTACAGATAAAATCCTTAAATTAGCTACATACTAAGATTTGTACGTTATTTTCATTGCTGTACTACATACAAGGATATCATACTGTAGTTAATTTGAATTCGAATTTTCACACCGTCTTGTTATCACTGACTGACATTATATGCCCAAAATAGTACTATACATTAAAATATAATTGATTATAAAAAGTGATTTCACATATTATATTCACAAATCCAGGGTGTAGTGTTTATTGACTTTTAAGTTTTTGATCTTCTAAAAACTGGAATAAATGAGCATAAAAGTGTCCGAATATATTTCTTTTATTGTTGTTTTAAGTATACAAATTAAATTAAATATATTGAACGGTTTTGTTACAAAGTTGTAAACTACAAATATCATTTTACAAATTACCTATTCACTTAGAGAACTATTTCCTTTGTATACGTATACGAAGGAAATTATACTACTTTATAAACCTTAATAAAGTTCTAAAATATCCTGAACATTTCGATTGGCTAATTGTGTGAAAATGAAGCTTGATTAATCAATAGAAAATATGGTGGTAGTATGCACACCAGTAAACACTTTATTTTCCTACATTCACCCAATAAAGTTGGCTTCATTACACTGATTATAGTACCGAAAGCTGCTAATTGATGTATTTACTTAATTTGGCGCACACCAGTATTCCAACCAAACAACACAAAACAGCGTAGTTTTATTATGCACGTAATCCGTGTACGCTTGAAAATGGGTTGGCAGCACTTAAAGATAAAACTAATATGATCAGCTGATTGACTATTGACAATCGGATCGTGTTTATATTCAATTTTCTTTTAACGCTTAGTTTGAACATAACCTAAAGTGTAGTATTTGAAAGAATAATATTATAAGTGGGCCTAACATATTTGAGAATAATGAACTCAGTGATTGTGAATATATGTGTACACCAGAAGAAATATGTAGAAGAAACTGCAAAACATGTTTCATTAAACCTGTTTCCTGAAAAATGAAGAAAGAAGTACGGTATGAACGATCATACGAACTGTTTTCTTCTTGGTGCGTAGGTAAGAAAGATACAAACTTACTTGGTTATTTTGTTAATACTGATTGTTACCGTTTATAAGTCTACTCATGAAAATAAGTGACACCTAAAGATACTACGACTACAATCAGCTGGTGCAGTGTTTCCCATTCCGTTCAACACTTGGGTTTAACCTAAAAAAACGTGTTGTATTGTGTTTGAAAGACTAATTATTTATATGTTTTATAGTGACTGTAGGAAAAGGATTAATGTGTGACACGAGCGCAAATGGCCTTTGCTCACTAGTTACACAAATAACTATTTATTTCTGAATATCTATTTCCTATCCGTTATTGAGCATCCCATTTTAATCTTACACGAACTGAAGCGGACCTGCATGTTCTTTGCTCGCCGCTCGCTGCATGTTATGTCCTTTGGTCCTTATCCTGAACCTGATGCTCTAAGGTCGCAGTCGCACGTCATGCGGGTAGTCCACCGCCAAAAGTTTGCTCTAACCTTGGACCTCAATACCCAAACAAGGACGATATGTTCTGGTAATAAGGAAAGCACAGACATGATTTAATATTGACTTTAAAGACAGATGTTGGCATGCAAATTAGGACATGTCTTATACAAATTACACACACTTTGATTGAATTAAATAGGTTGTGATTTGAGGATTGTATAGCATGATGGGTTGTATAACTTTGTTTGATTGCGTTGTAGGTACTGGTTGGCTTTACCACAGTTATATGGGATGTACCATAAAAAAACCTTTTGTTTATAAAATTATGTGATTATGTTATTTACTAAACTATTACCGTTATTATTAGGTTCGGATTAATATGAAGGCTTCATTATACTTAGATTTATTTTTTTTTACATATCCCTACGTAAAAATTCTTGTATAAAGACCACTTGTGCAAGAGACCCTTTAAAGTGCTAACCGCTTCTAATTTCCACCAGAGTACGTATAGACGTGTTTCCAACTCAAATAATCAATTAGCCAATCTCAGCTAGTTTTAAATTTGACACAGTAGGAATTGTATATAACCTTGGATTTTAATATTACCAATTTAATTTTAATGCTAACAACTTATTTAATGTCTTTTGTCAAGAAAAAGTGTGTGTGTTAAATTTTCTCATCTAAATTTGACTTTAAAGCGAAAGGAGTGTATT